GGACATGAACTCATCGTTTTTGATGGCTGCATAATATTCCATGGTGTATATGTGTCACATTTTCCCTGTCCAGTCTATCATCGATGGGCATTTGGGTTGGTTCCAGGTCTTTGAGTGCTGCAATGAACATTCGTGTACATGTGTCCTTATAGTAGAACGATTTATAATCCTTTGGATATATACCCAGTAATGGGATTGCTAGGTCAAATGGAATTTCTATTTCTAGGTCCTTGAGGAATCACCACACTGTCTTCCACAATGGTTGAGCTAATTTACACTCCCACCAACAGTGTAAAAGTCTTCCTATTTCTCCACATCCTCTCCAGCATCTGTTGTCTCCGGATTTTTTAATGATCGCCATTCTAACTGGCATGAGCTGGTATCTCAGTGTAGCTTTGATTTGCATTTCTCTAATGACCAGTGATGATGAGCATTTTTTCATATGTTTGTTGGCCTCATGTATGTCTTCTTTTGTAAAGTGTCTGTTCATATCCTTCGCCCACTTTTGAATGGGCTTGTTTGCCTTTTTCTTATAAATCTGATTTAGTTCTTTGTAAATTCTGGATATTAGCCCTTTGTCAAATGGGTAGACTGCAAAAATTTTTTCCATTCTGTTGGTTGCTGAATCACTCTAATGACTGTTTCTTTTGCCATGCAGAAGCTGTGGACTTTGATTAGGTCCCATTTGTCTATTTTGGCTGTTGTTGCCAATGCTTTTGGTGTTTTGGTCATAAAGTCCTTGCCTATGCCTATGTCCTGAATGGTTTTGCCTAGATTTTCTTCTAGGGTTTTTATGGTGTTAGGTCTTATGTTTAAGTCTTTAATCCATCTGGAGTTAATTTTAGTGTAAGGTGTCAGGAAGGGGTCCATTTTCTGCTTTCTGCACATGGCTAGCCAGTTTTCCCAACACCCTTTATTAAACAGGGAATCCTTTCCCCATTGCTTTTTTTGTCAGGTTTGTCAAAGATCGGATGGTTGTAGATATGTTGTGTTGCCTCCAAGGCCTCTGTTCTGTCTTTTAAAGACAAAGATGGGTATATCAAGACTCCAACAAGCCATTTCAAAACATCATAAACAAAGAGGCCACCGTAACTTGCCTGTTTAATATTGTAAATCACATACTTCCCACTCACTGGTCCCCTTACCCTGCTTGACTTTTTCCTTGCTTCATATAACTTATTACCTTCAAACATATACAATTTACTTATTTGTGTTTATTATGTGTTTCTCCTCATCTTGAAAATCCACCCCAGTCTCTACTATTGTATCCAAGTGCCTAGAACACTGCCTAACTTCTAGCAGACAGTCAATATCTGTTAGTTGGGAGACTAAATGAATAGTCAAGTTGAGGACATTATCCTAATGTAAACTGACTCCTGGGCTTAAATGTAACTGCAAGGACTAGAAAGACAAATAGGGTACAGAATATCACCAAATCCACCCACCCCCTACACATCATCGTACTTCCAAGGTCAACCCATGTATGCTTAATAAAATGAGAAAAACGGGCACAACAACCAAAACATTCAGAATAAAACCCAGAGGAAAATTATTAGAAGGTATATATACTGGAGAATGGGAGGAAGGGAGAAAGAGAAAGAGGAAGCAGGAAGAAAGGCAGAAAAGAAATGAAATAAAATCTGTCACCAACTTACTCTTTAAAACACAAATATAAAGTATGATTGCAATTTCAGGCTCGCAGTTTGGTGATCAAGCACTAATGTATAGGTGGTTCTGGTTTGCTATCCTGGGGTTTGACCCCTTAAATTACTGTAGTATCCCTTAATATTTGTATCAGGCTTTCCACTAAATGATTTTCCCCTCTGCTCTTGCTGGTGTCTTTCTCATTTAATGTATCTTCCTCTATGCAACAGCCTTTCAGTGGCTTCCCTCAACTGAAATATCAGCGAAAACTTCCTCATGGAACTGAAAATAAATTCTGTCTGAGGTCTTTGCTTTGATTCTACTCACTTACTTGGAAAAACAGGCACCAGTCCCACATCCTGCTTTCCACCCAATTAACACTCTGATGTTCTTCTCTAAGAATAATATCTCTATAATTATAATCCTGTTTTTAAAACACATTAACATAGGAACAATTAAAGGCAAAAAATGGGGGAACATTTTTCCAATACACCGAGAAGCAGCCTCCTTTCTAATGCGTTGTTTAGACTGAAAAAAGTTAAATAGGGTGGTCGGTGCTTCCGGAGCCTCCTCGGGATGTCGGTGGCCTTCGTACCCGACTGGCTGAGGGGCAAGGCGGAAGTCAATCAAGAGACGATCCAGCGGCTCCTTGAGGAGAATGACCAGCTGATCCACTGTATTGTGGAGTATCAGAACAAAGGCCGGGCGAACGAGTGCGTCCAGTACCAGCATGTGTTACATAGAAATCTCATTTATTTGGCTACCATCGCAGATGCCAGCCCAACCAGTACTTCAAAAGCAATGGAATAATCTTTCAAAAGCAATGGAATAATCTTCCAGTTGGCTGTCGTGAGGAGTAATTAAGTGTAATCCATCTCTTACAAAACAGAGACAGGATCTTTACCAACTTAACTGGTTAAAACATGAATGAAACCTCTGTGGCTCTTTCAAAAAATGTGAAAATGTGAAGAAAGCTACTAACTTAACTGTATTCTCAATGTAAATTTTTTTTTCTTTTCATGGTGAGCTTACCGTTCAATTTTTGTTTTTTAAATAATTAAGCGAATCCCTCAATGAGTTGAGCCCAGGTGACCTGTTTCCTGAACTTGAAGCAAGTTTGGATAACAAAGATGCTTACTTTTTAGTTTCAACCTGAAGAGAAAACTGAGTAGGTATTGGGCAGGAATTGGTGAGACTCCTGACTTGAGACCTTGCTAAATGGACATGTAACTGTGTGCTCCTTCCTACCAGTCTGTAAATGTGGTCCCCCCACTGCTGCTTTCAGATTGTTTGAAATAAAGCTTACTTTTCTATAAAATACCGATACGGAGGTATAGAAGTTTTCATGTAATAAATATTCCATTTGGTTTTCCAGAAAAGCTATGAGGACTTAACTATAAAATACGTAACAACAGCACTGATCATTGCCAACAAAATGAATAGTGATTCCTAATTACTACCTAATGCCATCTGATAATAGGTGGTGTTTAATTTCCTCAGTTATCAGATTATGTCTTTTTGTTGATTTGTCTGAAACAGAATCCAGACAAGATTCACACATTGTATTTTGTGGATGTCCCTTTAAGTCACTTAAAGAAGCTGGTAAGTACTTGCTTTTGCATCACGTAAGGAGTGACCTGATATTTTGTCAAGTTCCCAACAGCCTTTCACTTAAATTATGATCCACCCAGCTTTGATCGGGTAATTCATTAGGGATGGCATAATGAGGATTTTCCCATTTATTGTTCTTTCTGACTTTATTGGCTGTTTTCTATTAAAAACTTACACTCTTGGAGATTTATCTGAACGATGAGGCAAAGAGATTCTTGTAAGTATATCCAACATTAGAAGCCCAGGTCCCTGCTCCTTTTTTTGGAGTCAAGGGTTACAGCTAGGGTAACTGTAAAATACATATAAATAGTGAAAAGATAACTCTTTTTGAATCCCAGCTCTATCCCTTAACCTCCGAAAGCTCTGTTTCCTCACCTGTAAAGTGAGGGTAATAAAAATAGCATTTGCCCCTGAGGTTGGGGGGCTGAGGTAATGTGGTTGAGAACTGGGCACATGTTTATCTGTGTTAGCGCTGATGTGTCATCTGAGGTGAGGGCTCTGGCTCTTTNAAAAAAAAAAAGAAAAGAAAAGAAAAAAAGAAAAAAGTTAAATAACCTTGTTGGAATAGAGACCTTCCACCACATTCACTTCTGTGGTGCAACTGGTTAGCACATTCGGCTGTGAACCGAAGGGTTGGTGGTTTGAGACCTGGTGCCGTAATTTTGTGAGAAATGTTATTTTCTTACTTCAGGAATTGTGTCTGGCAAAATAAATGAAAATCCAATCATTATTCTTCCCCTGTTATTCCTCAGGTGTCTTCGTTTCCTTGTTTCTTGATTAAATTTCCCAAGTTCCTTCTAAATGCCAGCAGATATGAACACAGTCCCATCGTTCTGGACCACTTCTTTTGTTTCCAAACTCCATCTTTCTCATTGTGCTGGTCCATCAGTAGAGTCCCCCCAGCAAAAAGCAGCAGAAATCACTTGGCCAACGTCCTGCAGAGCTTGCCCTCTGCACTGAGCTGGCATTGTCTCTACCTGAATCAGTTCCTTGGGTCAGGCTTTGGATGTCACAATAGACCACGAATGAAAGTGGTGGAGACCTCTAGCTAGGATGTCTATAGGTTTCCTGTGACTGCTATTTTCCTAAATCATTAGACTCTCTCAAATTTTTTTCTTGCTTACAAAATGAATACCAAAGACCGTCTCTCTTAGACTCTGCAATTCCACTTCTGACAATTTTTTATGCAATTGCTATATTTGTATAGCTAAAGTTGAGTCATGTAAGGATTATTCTTTTTAACACTTAAAAGAAAAAAAGATCAGAAGAAGCTGCACATCCATCCATAAAGTCCTGATTAAATAATCAATGATAATTGACACGATGGAATTGGAGGCCAAGGTGAAAAACCAAAATAAGCTCTCTGAATTGATTCACAGCCAATGTGCTGGGGGACGTTGCTGGAGTCTGCTAACCCTGATAGCCCAGGTCATCCACAGACTGGCCACTACAATAACTGCTGAAGGTGGCTGGGCACACACCACACAGCTGCAAAGGACTTTGCCAGGTTTCCGATGCCTCTCCCTTCAGCCTGCCTTCATGTCTCTAGTTAATAAGGGGTGCGAAGAAAGTGTAGTTTCAGGGGCCATTGTCACAGAAGATTGAAAACTTTTCATTTTCAATCTCAGCTCACTGCAACATCCACCTCCGCAGTTCAAGCGATTCTCCTGCCTCAGCCTCCTGTGTAGCTGAGATTACAGGCACCCATCACCACACCCAGCTAATTTTTGTATTTTTAGTACAGGCAGGGTTTCACCATGTTGGCTAGGTTGGTCTTGAACTCCTGACCTCAAGTAATCTGCCTGCCTCAGCCTCCCAAAGTGCTGGGATTACAGGCGTGAGCTACCACGCCCGGCCGATATTCATTTTCTTTAATATTCTGTCAAGTATTGATTTCAAGATGGGGGCCGGGCATGGTGGCTGTAATCCTAGCACTTTAGGAGGCCGAGGTGGGTGGATCGCTTGAGAATGGGAGTTCGAGAGCAGCCTGAGCAACACAGTGAGATCTCATCTCCACAAAAAAAATCTTATAAATTAGCTGGGCATGATGGTACATGCCTGTGGTCCCAGCTACTCAGGAAGCTGAGGTGGCAGGATGCTTGAACCCAGAAAATGGAGGCTGCAGCGAGGCATGATTGTGTCACTGTACTCCAGCCTGGTTGACAAAGTGAGATGCGATCTCAAAAAATAAAAGGCGGGTGGGCGGGGACCAGCAGATCTAACATTGGATCTTAAGCAGTTTGCTAAAATTCATATTAAGCCTCCTGGGGAACTGAGCATGTCCCTAGACTTCCACCATAGGATTTTCACCTCATAATTCTACTGCATATAACAAGGCAAATTGCAAGGAGAAAGGTTTTATGAGGAATCACAAAAAAGTAACTTGAGTACCTGTAAACATGACTTTTGAACGTTTTTAGGGCAGAGCATGGTGACTCATGCCTATAATCCCAGTGCTTTGGCAAGCCAAGACGGGGGAGGATCCTTGAGCCCAGGAGTTCGAGACCAGCCTAAGCAACATAACAAGACCCTGTCTCTGGGAAAAAAAAAAAAAGAAAAAGTTTTTAGGCACCCAGACATATCCTATTAAAGCCTCCTTACTCTATCAGGAGTCCCACCTCAACTTACTTGGAAAGAAACCTGCCCACTATATTGCCATCTAAAGCAGAGTCCCAGCTTCTCAGTCAGGAGCGGAACAAAGCTGAATCAGAGTATACATTGCAACCACAGGATAATGACTTGAGAATTATTACTGTTTGTTATTCTTGGTCTTAGATAAAATAAATCCACTCATATTTGCAGGTACACTTTATTCTTTAGTCTATGACATGTGCATTTCTCATGAGTCTCATGCAATAAGCATTCACCATATACACACTGGGAAAAGCTGGGGAAAAGGTTGGTAACAAAGAATAAAATACTAAGTAAAATGAGTCATATCTCTGAGCTCACTTTTAATGGGGGATAACATTATATAGTTGTGGATTCAATGAGTTAAGTCATATAAAAAAACAAAGTGCTGTTTAAATAGAAACAAAATTATGGATGTAAAAGTAATTATTTTCCTGCCCTCAATGGGCTTAAAGTCAAAATGAAAGTTCCTGGGATATTTTCTTCCACCCACTTATTCTCATTCCTCACTTTTGACTTACCCAGCTTGCATGGCCACAGGTGTGAGCTCTTTGTACTGAACTGTTTTGGAGATCGAGTCTGAAATACAAACCCTTGAACATACTATTATCTAATGCTGTCCACCCTGGGAATGCAATTTTGTTTTCTTCATTCAAGAAAGTCTTAAATAAAACCCCTAAAGTACCACTATGTCTGGTACTTTCCAAGCTGTCAGCAACTTGACGGAAAGTTTCTTCTTCACCTTGGTATCTCTTTATCTAGCAGAGGTGGCAATGGGCACTTGGAATTCTAAATAAATCAAAGTCAGCCTGTCAAATTCTGATTCTGGATTTTTCTGGTTCACTTGGAGACATCAATGGCATGTGGAAATAATCCACATGCAAACCCACAAGAAATAAACACAAAAACAAGGCAAAAGTTTCTAAGTGGAAATGTAGTTTGTGTGCCAAGTATAAGAGGTATGTGGGTTGTGAGAAATGTTATACCAAGCTTTACTGTATGATTCTTTTCATTCTTCCAAATAAAGTGCACCTATCCACAATGTGGCTAGTATATTTTACAGGCAAAGTAGACAAATTCACTGTACCCCATAAAACACACAGATCATCACACTGACAGAAGAAAAACAAAAACAGCACAAGGAAAATACAAATAATTATAATCATACTGACACTTTCTGAAACAGCCTCGAAAATGATCAGCATTTTGGTCTACATGAGACTGTGTAGACTGATTAAAACCTAGGTTTTCAGTTCCTTGTAGTGGCTTACACTGATCCTTTGAAGCCTACAGGGTTGCTTTGCCTATTTGTGAACCCTCCCTTGCCGCAGTCCCACAATATATAACCTGAGGTGCACTGGTTCTCTACTAAGCTTTGCCCACCTTTTCAGTGGTTCCAACCCAACACTCCACCCAGGAAGCATTGTTTGCAATTGTGGGAGCACATCATACTCTTTGAGACTTCTGCTTTATCATTTTCCGGTTTACTTTCTAGGAATGACCTAGAAAAGTTGGCGAGGACTGACTCACCTCTGAAGACTGTGATCATCAATCAGGTTCCCACTGAGAGCACTCTATGACCTGCCGTGGCCCCCACTCCATCTACCACGATGCCTATCTTCTACTAGTGGCCTGAAGACTCTTAATGCCAAGGGCCATGTGCTATTATCTATTGTCACTGTTTCCTCCTCAAACAATGGCTTATAAAATGCTGACTTAACTGACTGATAAAGTGGGCTAAGATATTAAGTAGACAGAAATTAAACAGAAAAAGAAAACCCAGATTAAATGGCAAGGTGGATGGTGGGGGTGGGGGTGCTCTAAGATCAAGAGATGGAATGAAGGTGAAGGGAACACAAAATCAAAGTTGAAATTTGTCCAATGCCCCCTAATAAAAATAAAAAGGCATATAAAAATATTTTTATTTTCTACAAATACATTTGGAAGAACTGTATTTCTTCCCAACCCAGTCAACCCCATTAACTGTCATCTTTTCTACATGAAAAAGATGCTAATACCACCCTCACCTGTGACTACTAAACAGAAAAAGATTGCCTGGACTAGGCATTATCCCCCTTGTTGGAAATAAAGGCCCTTCCTGGAGGCAGGAAGTGGGATTTTTAAGAGGCAGGCAGTTAAGAGTCAAACAAAACAAGCATATGCAGTAGTCATAATCATGTTAGTATGACAGTATGAATTAGGTGACTCAGCCAGGCATGTACAGGAGTTCGAAGAGGGAACAGTAGGAGCCCACAAAACTTCCACGTTTGGGCCCTGACCAGAGACATTTGGTCTGAAAAACACAATAAAATGTCTGCCTGGGCCGGGCGCGGTGGCTCAAGCCTGTAATCCCAGCACTTTGGGAGGCCGAGGCGGGTGGATCACGAGGTCAAGAGATCGAGACCATCCTGGTCAACATGGTGAAACCCCGTCTCTACTAAAAATACAAAAAATTAGCTGGGCATGGTGGCGCGTGCCTGTCCTGTAATCCCAGCTACTCAGGAGGCTGAGGCAGGAGAATTGCCTGAACCCAGGAGGCGGAGGTTGCGGTGAACCGAGATCGCGCCATTGCACTCCAGCCTGGGTAACATGAGTGAAACTCCGCCTCAAAAAAAAAAAAATGTCTGCCTGGGTAGTCACAATCCTTCTAGTATGAGGTGGACAGGAAGCAGAGCAGGGCCAGGAGATGGAAGGGGCCTTCCCGGCCCTCATGAGTCGCCGACCAGGGAAGTTCCCTCCATGCTCTCTGAGGGTGGCGGGGCTCCAAAGATCCTGGCCAGAAGCCCTTTGTTGGAGCGGGCCTTGTCTTGGACAGTTGCCAGGCGAGCCCGTTCACGCCCCCCTGGCCGTGCTGATTTCCGGGCTCTCAGTTCCTGCTCAGTAGGACGCTGGGCAAATGTCCAGGAGCCATCTGGGCGAGCAGGGTCCGCATCAGCAGCAAGAAAGCGTTGTCCCCGTTCCACACTTTGAAGATAAAAGTCGGTCTCACGCTTGGCCTGAGCAACCTCCACTCTCAGGCGCTGCCTGCGCACCTGGCGCTCAAAGGCAAGGTGCTCGCTGAGGTGGGACCAGGTGAAACGGTGCAAGTACTGTGGGCAGAAAATCAGAAAAGATCAGGATAGTGCAGATTAGAGAGAAAAGGAGCGGGGGCGGGGAGGTGGGGGCGCAAGGCCAACAAGAGGCCATGGGGATACTTGGACCAGGGTTGCGGAGATGGGAGGGTGAGAGGTGTGGCAGAAAGATCTAGCTCCTCACCTTGAGGTTCCACAGGTCATAACGGAAGGGGCTGCGCCTGCGGGCACCCATAGGCGTGTTGTGTAGACTGGCCGCCACGCGCTTGGCTACGCGCTTGTCGCGGAACTCCACCCATCCCTCGGTGTAGTCCTTGCTGTAGGACCGCTTTTTTCCTCCCGCGGCTGCTGCTGCCTTCTTTTTGCGTCTCACGAACCTGTCTGCGACCCAAAGACAAAGCCCCGTCGAGGATGCCTAGGCCGCACTCCCTCAAAAGCACCTCCCACTGCCCACATTGTTCTTCATTTCTGCCAGCCGGAGTCCCACCTGAGAGTTTCCGCCGGAAGGAGGGAACTGTTAAGTCGCATTCTTTCCTCTATCTAACTCAGTTCTTTCCTCAAATGTCCACTCCTTAATCTGGCCTGCCCTGAACGCTATTTAAAACCTGCACAAGTCCCCAACCTCCAGTAGTGCCTGTAAGGGGATGGAAAGACCAAGGGCGACTGATCGAATCGTTTCTTGACCAAGGCCGCGATGCCAAACGTTGTATGTTCAGTTTTGTAGAAAAGCTGACCAGGTTTTTACTCAGGTTCTACTCATGAAACAAACCAGTAGACAGGTCCGGAGAGAGAGGTGAGCAGAACCGGAGTAAGAACGCAAATAGCGACAATCCGAGAACTAAGAACCACCAGACACACTGCGCTACCTAGTCTCCCCAGATCCCCACCGCCGCCCACCCCAGCATCCTCACAGACTGATTCCTTCACCAGCCAGGAGCCGAGCACCGCACTGCCCATCGCCCAAATCCAGCAGCTCGCGCCTCAGCCCTGCGCAGCGAACCAACAGGACATGCATGCTTGCCCCCCGCCAGCGAGCGACGACCTCCTCCTTTCACCGCCAGGGCCTGCACACTTACCCTCAGCCTGAAAGAAAACGCGTCCCACCTCGCCGTAGGCACTGAGAAGGTTGCGGACGTGCAGGGGCCGGAAGCGCGGCGGGATATGGCCCAGATACACAATACCTGGCACTACCCGCTTCTTGCTGCCACAGGCCGCTTCTTCGGATTCCTCCTGCTCCTCCTCCGCGTCTAGATCCTGGTCTGTCCCTTCCAGCGGCTCTTGCTCCGTTGCGGCCTTCTCCGATTCCTCTCTCTCCATGTTGACTGACACGAACAGCACGACAGCCGTAAAGTGCCTTGCCAACAGACGCAAAAAGCGTGCGACGGCCTGAGACGTGGGGGTGGGGCCGAGGCGTTATTGACAAATGAAAAGATTGAGCTAGGCCGGCGGATCCCGGAGATAGCCGAGTGGAGAGGGCGGAAGTAGGGTGTCGGGTCGGAAGCCAGATTATGAGCGTGGGAGCGGGATGGAACGCTCGGGTTAGGCTCACAGATTCCGGGTCAGATCTCCAATTCAGGACAGGCAGAAGCAGAAAAGACAGATCCCCAAATATAACCTACCCTATAGAACGCCTAGTTGAGATGGTAAAAGTCAGGTTGATGCTGGCTTTTTGGAGAGTTTTGCAGAACAATTTTAGGGAAGTTTCTATGTGTTCTAGCGATCCAAATAGCATTTTATTCAAGGGCCCCGGGTGCGATTACAGCTGAGGAATGACTGTTTTTTAAAGTTGATAAATTTCGTTTTAAAAATTTAAGTTTGAGTTTTGAAGTTTTAATTCTTTCTGATAGGCCGGGAGCGGTGGCTCACGCCTGTAATCCCAGCACTTTGGGAGGCCGATGCGGGCAGATGTCGAGGTCAGGAGTTCGAGACCGGCCTGGCCAACATAGTGAAACCCTGTCCCTACTAAAAATACAAAAATTAGCCAGGCGTAGTGCAGCGAGCCTGGAGTCCCAGCTACTCGGAAGGTTGAGGCAGGAGAATCCCTTGAACGCGGGAGGCGGAGGTTGTTGTACTGAGCCAAGATCGCACCACTGCACTCCAGCAAGACCCTGTCTCAAAAACTAAACTAAAATAAATTATTTCTGGAAATTTACTTCGGGATTTTGCCTATTTTAAAATTTAAATTTTGAAAACAGTTTAATTTTGGAAATTTAATTAGATTTAATTTTGAAAATTTAAGTTGCTTTTAGTCTAATATTTTAAATTTGATTTTGTGAATGTCTAGAAATGTAAATACAATTATTTGAACCATTTGCTTGGCATCTATGATACATGTGTATTGATACAGTATCCACATGCATCCTTACGCTGCAAATACATGTCAGAGGCACACACGACTCACAATTCTGGCGACTCCCGGGCAATGCGTTTAGTTCTGCTCACCCTGGGTCTGTCCTCAGAGATTCCCCATCAGATCACAACCCACTTTTCCTTCTATGACCGACGCAACCACAGAACTGACCGGGCCCCGGCGGTGCTGCTCCCGCCAGGAGGACAGCGGACCTTTCCTAAATCACACCCAGGGCCATTTTCCCCTCGCGGGCTCGGGTCCTCAGCCTGTTATCGTGGCCCGAGGGTGCTCCCAGCAGGGGGCGCCGTCCCCACCCTTGAGGCGCTTCAGTTACTCGGATCGGTGCCAGCGCGAGGCGGACTGCAAAAGGCAGTGCTGGGAACCGCGTACAAATAATCCGGTTGGCTTTCTGGAAGCAGCCCGGGGAGGGTTTGAGGACCATCAGTACAAAATTTCCCATCTCGCTCCAACAGGAGCGCAGAGTAGCCCAGAGAATGGAAGCAGGGGGTAAATGTGTCCACTGTTAAAATCAGAGATGGCAGTTTTCGCAAGTCCCCAAGTATATTTATAAAGTTAACAGGGCGCCGAGCTGTATCACGGAGTGTCTGAAAGTCTAATGATAGACTCTTCGAATTCTCACACTTCTGTTGCATTAGCTTTATTGAAAACTTGCTGTCAGGTGTCCACTGCTCCTTTTCTGAAGAGGAATGGGGTACGATGACAGTAATAAACTCCGTCTATTGCTATTTAATTCTTAACACTGACATCTTCAAAACACAGCATAGTTAATGAAATGAGAGCACGTGTTGGGGTGGCTTTAAAAGATCGGGAGTTAGGGGAGGGGCATGATGCAAGAGTCTCGGTCAGTTGTGCCAGTGTGGTGGCTAATGGTAGTTCTTCAGGCTGATTCTCTACCTGGTATATATTTGAAATTATCATTGATAAAATGTTTATTCACACCAACTATCAACATAACAGCTAAAGGACTGTCGAACCGCCAAAAAAGAAAAAAAAAATGAAGCCTTGGGCAGCGTGTTCTTCCCGCTCTCCACATTCCTCATGATCCCTTCTCAACTTGGTGGAAATTAGGTCTCACTCAAGAGACTTTTTCTCTCAGTTGACTGTCCTTGAAGCAAGGCTTGTTAGCAATTTTCAGTGTGGATTCTTTTCCTTCTGAGCGTCTTACAAATTCATGCATAAATAAGCAAGCTGCTCACTCACCGCGTCCTGTAAGTTGGAGAGATCCTTTTAAAAGGAAACTCCTTCGAGCCGGACTCGAACCAGCGACCTAAGGATGACCACGTTCAAACCCCTACAGTCCTCCGCTCTACCAGCTGAGCTATCGAAGGATGTTGTAATGCACTCCTTGGATACTTTAGGATTTACCTATTGCTTTTGACTATCCTGTATTGATGCTCATTTTGAAAACATAGCAAAAGGTAAGGAAGTTTTTGAGGATATTAGAAATGTTTCAAAATGTTCTAAAATGTTTTAATCTGAGTACAGGTAGTGAACATACAAGTGTATGAACAATTCATTTCCTTGAAAATTTAAAATTTGTGTGTTTTACTGTAAAATTGTTTGACATCGGTCAAAAAAAAAAAAAAAATTCTGTGTCCTGCTCCCTTAGGTAGAATAAATAGGAACATTGCCCCTATTAAGCGTGTTGTCCCTCTGTCCTGTCTGCTTAGCACCTCCTCTCTTTATGGGAAGGGATAATAAAGGTAAGCTTATATTAAACACAGACAACTGGGTTGAAGAGAGGAGACCTACCGCCTTGAATCGGAGTTACTGTCCAGTTCATTCTGGAAACACTGAAATTCTCCTTTCTGAAGGGCAAGGAAAATCATACAATTTGTGTAATTTGTGTTCAAGACACAAAACATGAGAAGTCCGTTGTGTGTGTACATATGTTTAAGAATTGAGCAGCTCATATGATATTGCACAATTGTAATGGGACAAATAAAATATAACACTCTCCCTCCCCTCACAATTTAAAAAAGATGAAATGTAACATTCCACTTACAGGTGTCAACCTAAATAACAAAGAGAAGCTCTCTGAAAGAAAATGATGTTTATTTGGGAATAGAGCATTGCTATGAAAATATGGGTGCCATTGGAAATTATGCATATGCAGGAGGCAAAGGAAGACAAAGGTTTTTATTTTACTTTTTTTTTTTTTTTTTTTTTTTGAGATGGAGTTTCACTCTTGTTACCCAGGCTGGAGTGCAATGGCGCGATCTCGGCTCACCGCAACCTCCGCCTCCTGGGTTCAGGCAATTCTCCTGCCTCAGCCTCCTGAGTAGCTGGGACTACAGGCACGCGCCACCATGCCCAGCTAATTTTTTGTAGTTTTAGTAGAGACGGGGTTTCACCATGTTGACCAGGATGGTCTTGATCTCTTGACCTTGTGATCCACCCACCTCGGCCTCCCAAAGTGCTGGGATTACAGGCTTGAGCCACCGCGCCCGGCCTATTTTACTATTTTTTTAGAGATGGGGTTTCTCCATGTTGGTCAGGCTGGCCTCAAACTCCTGACCTCAGGTGATCCACCAGCCTCTGCCTCCCAGAGTGCTGGGATTACAGGCGTGAGCCACTGCGCCCCGCCTGACAAAGGTTTTTTTTGTTGCTGTTGTTATTTTTTTTGTTTTTGTTTTTGTTTTTGTTTTGAGTTGGAGTCTCGCTCTGTCTCCGAGGCTGGAGTTCAATGGCACAATCTTGGCTCACTACAACCTTCACCTCCTGGGTCCAAGCAGTCCTCCTGCCTCAACCTCCCAAGTAGCTAGGACTACAGGCATGCGCCACCACGTCAGTCTAATTTTTGTATCTTTAGTAGAAATGGCGTTTCACCATCTCGGCCAGGCTGGTCTCAAACTCCTGACCTTGTGATCTGCCTGCTTTGGCCTCCCAAAGTGCTGGGATTACAGGCGTGAGCCACAGTGCCCGGTGACAAAGGTTTTTAAAGGAAAAAATGAGAAGGATTATATAACTGTGTTGAAGTTATTATCATTTGCTACAAAGATGGAAAACAAAGAGGAAGCCAGTCCGAGGTTGGACAGGCAGTTGTGGGGCAGGTGTCCTTGTAGAAGTATTTTTTGTGTAAGATTGTGATGGCCTTTGTGCAACGTTGTGGGTTTTACAGTCTTTTGTGATAGTTTCTGTTATCAAGCATGGCCTTTTCTAGCTCTGTTTATCAACGGCTTTTTTTGTTTGTTTGTTTTGTGTGTTTGTGTGTTTTAACAATAGTGACTCCATTTTGATTCTGACAGTTTTCACATAGATATGCTTTGCTAATAAGAGCCTATCATGGTATTCAGCTTCCTGGTGCCTAAGACAGAAATGAACGCCAATGGGAAAAACAGGAAGCCATCTGGAGAAACTTTTCTTTTTTATAAAATTATTGAAAGTGTATGGAAATTGTAAACTGTGAAATTTATGGAAAGAGTTCTGGTGAATTTACCTATAAAAATCATCATTTATTACACTTAAAGTTCTCCATAACTGTAATCTTGACAAAAAATACGTTTTTTTTCCAAAAGATTCTCTCCAGCATTTCCCATGAGAAATATCTGCAGCACATAACTAATATTTAATTCAGTTACTCATTTCCATGAGAAACTAATGTCTAGTCAATTCCTTTCCAATAATATAACCTAGTCAGGGAAAATATGAGAACCCAGAGTAGAGAAATGAGCAGGTTCTGTGTGAGATGGTCTCTTCTCATATAAGTGTACTAACTGAGCCTTGGACATCAGCTGTGAAAGCAGCTGACCAACCCTGCCATTTCACCAACAAACCTCAGAATCTCAGTTCACGTGCTTTCTCAAATAAAAGCTTCACTAATTTGCACAGGGGACAGCAATACTGAAAAAATGCTCAGTATGTTTCTCATCAGCTAGTGCTAGATCTTCAAACCTCATGTCTCCCAGGGACACAGTACTATAGAGTGAATTTTAGTCCAGAAGAACTCCAATAGCTAATCTTACCAAGTCTTTTCTTTATCTATAAACTAAGATTAAGAATCCCACCTCAGGGCTGTTAAAGTTGGAATTTCATTTGCCTGAAATGCTTTTTCCCCTGATAATCCTCAAGATTTGCCTCCTGGGAATACAAGAAGAAGTAATTAGGACCTTTCTGCACTAGATTTCTGTATCACTCTGTGGGAAGACTTCCTTTTTCCTCTTCTTACAGAGTCTGGTGTCAGAACTACCATTCTTTTCCCTCTTGTTGCAGACACAAGTTCAAAATGGGTTTATGGATAAATCTAACTCTGAAATTATTCTTGGAAATGTATCATAATCATTTGATTACAACTTCACCCTGTACCTTCTCTATTGTTTTAGTACCTTTACAACTTGCAAATTGAGACCTACCTAGATGGTTTTAACTTCTCTTGAAGCTTACAGACTGTATTATTCATTTGGAATAGCCCAGGAGTTCCAGGCTTCAATAAACTATGATGAAAGAACTGCACTCCAGCCTCAGCAACAGAGCAAGACCCTGTCTATTAAAAAAGGAAGAGGAGGCCAGGAGCAGCAGCTCATGCCTGTAATCCCAGCACTTTGGGAAGCCGAGGCAGGTGGATGACTTGGGGTCAGGAATTCAAGGCCAGCCTGGCCAACATGGTAAAACCCCATCTCTACCAAAAACACAAAAAATTAGCCAGGCATGGTGGTGGGCGCCTGTAATCCCAGCTACGCGGAAGGCTGAGGCAGGAGAATTGCTTAAGCCTGGGAGGCAGAGGTTGCAGTGAGCTGAGATCACTCCATTGCACTGCAGCCTGGGCAACAAGAGTGAAACTCCTTCTCAAAAAAANAAAAAAAAAAAAAAGGAAGAAAGAAAAAGAAAAGAAAAGAAGAAAGAAAGAAAGAAAAAGAAAGAAAGGAAGAAAGGAAGAAAGAAAGAAAGAAAGAGAAAGAGAGAAAGAGAGAAAGAGAGAAAGAGAGAAAGAGAGAAAGAGAGAAAGAAAGAAAGAAAGAAAGAAAGAAAGAAAGAGAAACAGAAACATGCAGAAATTTGAGGGTAGGGTAATATAATTATTCTATATCTTGATTGTAATCGTGACATGACTGTGTACATTTGACAATATTTGTTACATTAAAAAGAATGTGCACTAAAGATAATGACTTTACTGTATGTAAATTGTACCTTAATCTAAAAAATGGTAAGAGTAACTTTGAAAAAATTAAAGTAGAAGAAAAGTAAAGTGTAGTTTAGAATTTAATTTTAAAAATCAATGTAATCAGTGTAATCACTTTATTATCAGTCTAAAACAGAAAAGCCATATGATTATCCCAATAGGTGTAGGAAAAAAAAAATGGACAGGCTGGGCACGGTGACTCACGCCTGTAATCTCAGCACTTTGGGAGGCCGAGGTCAGGAGTTCAAGACCAGCCTGGCCAACATGGTGAAACCCTGTCTTTAAAAAAAAAAAAAAAAAAAAATAGACAAATTTAGATACATTGTTAGAATTTCTGCAAACAGGTAATATGAGAGAATTTTCTCAATATAAAAGACATCTTTAAGAATTCTACAACTAATATATTTAGTGATGAAAAACTGAATGTTTTGGCCAGAGCAAGGTCCAGAGCAAGGATGTCCACTCTCACAACTTCTATTCAGCATTATCCTAGAGATTCTAGCCAGTGCAATAGGCAAGAGAAAGAAAAAAATACAGATTAAAAGGAAAAGGTACATTTATTTGCATGTAACATGATTGTCTATGAAAAAACACTGAATACAATAAAATAGAATTGTAATTCTACTTATCAATTGTGTCCTGCAGCTTTGATAAGCTTACTCGCTAGTTGTAGCAGCTTTGTAGAAGTTGCCTCAGTATTTTTTGCATAGACAATCATGTTACATGGTTATTTTATATTTTATAAATGGTATTTTATATTTCAACTTCTATTAACAAATACAAATTATTTGTATTTGTTAACTATTAACAACAAATACATTTATTAATAAATACTATTTATTAATAACAAATACCAATTATTTGTATTTGTTAATAGAGGTTGAAATACAAAATACCATTCAAAATGGTACAAAAAATATGAAATATTTAGAGATAAATTTAACAAGATCCAATGAAAGCAATGCATTGTTTCCAGGACAGAAAATTTAAACAATTTTCAGATATCAATTACAATTCTTTCAAATTGATTAATCCATTTAATGCCATGTCAATCAAAATGTCAGCGATTTTTATCTTTAGAAATTGGCAAGCCAAATACAAAATGTATACAGTCAAAAGATCCAAAATATCTGAAACAATTTTGAAGAACAAAGTTGAAATAATACTGCCTGATTTCAAGATTTACAACAAAGCTACATAGAGTCTACAGATAAACTTACATGATTATGATTAATTGATTTTTGACAGAGATGCCAATATAATTCAATGAGAAAAAGATAATCTTTGCCAAATGGTGCTGGAAAAACTGAATATCCATATGCAAATAAATGAACTTGGACCCTTATCACACAATACACAAACGTTAATTCAAAACGGATCAGACTTAAATGTAGGGACTAGAACAACAGAACCTCTAGAAGAAAACGTAGAATTCTTTGTAACTTTAGCCTAAGCAAAAAGACTTTAAATGGACAGAAAAGCATAAACCATAAAGGAAAAAATAAGTTGAATTTCATCAAAGCTTAACAAAAAATGTGCTCCTCGAAAAATGCTGTTAAGAAAAGACAAGTCAGGCTAGGCATG